ATCTTAGGGGAACAACGCATGCTCCACTGTAGGTCTGATTGTCTGTTCCCACTGTATTCATCCAGGAGAAGGGAAAAGACTGACCTTGTGGAAATGGGCATCACCTCTCATTATTACCTTTCCTCTGCCTTCAGGGCCAGCAGAGTAGGAAGGTTTCACCAAGGATTAGGCTTATCCTTGCAGCAGTTACCTTTGCTGGGAAAGCAAGACAGAGTATGTCAGATGACAAGAACCAGAAAGGAGGGGTATTCCACCCCACATCTCTCTGAGCTGGTAAACTATGCCCTTCCAAGCCCCATTCTTAGCAGTACATTCTCCTGTGATGGGACCCACTGGCCTAAAGACCTCTTCCCTACTCACTGTCTAGTACTTGAAACTTAGAGCCACTTTTGTCTTCATCTCTGTACTCAACAATAATGGGGAAGAACAGGCACCACCCTCTGATAGGAGAGGGCCATTTACCAGTGTTATCCTTAACATTCCCAAAGGCCATGAGGAGGAACATACTAAATTCAAGATGTACTGAATCAACACTTTGCAATAATTCTTCAATGGTTGGAATTCCTACTTTGGATACCAGTTGGAGAGGTCTTACATAGAGTCCTTGTGCTTCCTAATAGCATAACTGAGGCATAGTTTATCCTCCTATAACTTGTATGTGGGGTTACTGCCAACCCTTGGTATTTGCCCCCCTGACAAATGCTTAAAGACAGAGCTGCACCCAAGCATTCAAATTTGGTAGCATTAACTCCAGTAACCCAACTCTGACATTCCATTTAAGGACATAGAGAAAAATCATAAAAACCTTCTGTTACACTGAACTTAGTATTTGACAAGTCCCTTAAAGAATAAATGGGATATTTTCACCAAATGCCTGAAGTTCTGTCTTTACCACATCTTTCCCTGGAGTTTTTTCATGGACATCTTAGGATATAATAAATCCTTCTTTCCTGACACCCAGCCCCCGAGCAAGGAATGCCGGGCAGATGGTATTCATCACAGAGTGCCAATCTGATTTCTAGGTAGAGACTCCAGAGCTGGGGGAATAGCACAGTTCATTTTATATTCTCTCTCACTGTCTTCATATAAGATGATTTTTAGTCAAAGATGATCAGGTATTTGGTCAAATATTTTCACCTATTTAATTTAAAGAACTCGATCTGAATTCATTCATGAATTCAACTTGGTCACACCAGATTGTGGCTAGACATCAAATTGAGTGACTGAGGATTGATTTCTCTAGTGAAGGATGGCCTGGGAATAATTGTGGTTTTTACTTCGTTGTCTTTTATTTATTCTGGTAGACATTCCCAACTCAGAGAATTTATTTTTTTTTTATGTTGGACATTGCCACTTGAGCCAGTCACAATAAGTAGATACACTTTCTGCAAGGAGTTTTGTCATTAGAAAAACCACAAAACTGGGTCTAAAATATGCTTTCTTGCCGAGTGGTTTCTTCAAAATAAAATAAAAGCAATTTCATTGATAAAATTAAGTCACATTCTCTCAGTTTAACAGAAAGCCAACACAAATCATTTATCTAACCCCCATTATTTTCTCAGCAGTGTGTGCTGTTCTAACAATGGTGGTACACTGTGACAGAACCCACCCTTGGATTCCAGAGGCACAACATCTGGACAGGGACACTAGGCTTAGGAGAAGGAAAGAGTTATGACTCAATGTTTAGCACTGTGTATACTTAGTCCATGATAGTTGTTTAATCATTCTTTACATAGGTAGTAAATGGTTGATTACTAAACCTTGAGGTATAGACCATAAATTCCGTAAGTTAGAGAAGACTGTGGAACCCAGCTTTCAGGAAACCCTCAAGGGAACTTGTTCCATGGAACTCACTGTGGGAGCTCTGGCTCAGAACATACTTTATGGAGGAGGAAGAAATCCTACTAGGTATTTAAAGGAGCAAAGAGTTAAACAGATAAAAGTCAGGGTAGTGGAGCACCCAGGTAGAGAGAATAACCAAAAAACAAGATGGAGGTCACAATTAACCTGGATCATAGTAAAGTTAAGCAAGTTTGCCTAAGCAGTTCAAACTAAAATCATGAAGAGAGCTAGCTAATTTTATAATACCCTACCTGTCCAAATAGCATCTGCTCTAGTGGAAACACAATAAAAACTTGAGGTAAACATGTGACTGTACAGTAAATGCTTACATTTGTAATCCATAGAAAACTAGCAATCAGTGAAACCCTATCTGAGGTTCAGGACAGAGAACCAAACCCAATCATTTCATAGTTCTCTTATGGCAGTGTTTGCATGAACTGGGAAATGGGAGTTTGGTGGGGACAGGAGGGAAAATAAGGACAAAAGGGAATGTCTTATATTTTCTGCTTTTTGCCAAAGTTAAGAGATGCCAATCTAGGGCCGGGGAGATGGCTCAGTAGAATAAGTACTTGCCTGACAAGTGCAAGGGCCTGAGTTCAATCCCCGGTTTAAAAAAAAAAAAAAAAAAAAAAAGATGCCAATCTAGTATGTGTGGTTCTAGGGCTTTTGTTTCTTCTCTGATTTTCCTTTATCACATAATAGTTTTTTAATAGTGTGATTCTGTTTTCATATTTCCTTTAATGTGTTTGTTTTTACTTTTTTGGCTACTTCTTCTTCCACTGAAGAAAATTTAAGTTTGCTATCGAAAGAAGTCTGATAGCCTTCTCTGTCTTGCCTTGTAGGCCCAGTGAATTAGTTGTGAATGCTGAGTGAAACTCAGCACTTGAGAAAATGAGAGGTGATGTGGGGATATGTCATCCATGCATATACACTAAGTTTGTGGGAAAAATACAGTCAAATAAGGCATAGTACATGGCTTGCCCAAGTGAAAGGTACAGACTAGAAGGGAAATTAAGGGACACATAAGAGGGGGGAAAAAAGTACTGTGTGGAATCCGATCACTGTATCAGCAAAGGAAGTGAAGTGCAGCAGTGGTTCAGAGTATAGATCATTTCCAGCATGAGCTCAGCAGAGCCACGTGGCTGAGTGGACAAATTCTTTGTTTTGGGTTCTTCTTTTGCAAAAGAGAAGATGCACTATGAAACCTATGTATCTGAAACAAGCGCTACAGTACAGGAATCTGCATCCACCTCCCATGGCTCCTGAGGATCATGGTGGCCTGTGGTCTTCTTTCTCCAAGTCCATGCCCTGTCCACACAGTTCCACCACTACCCAAAGTCATCCACTTTTGACAAGTACATTTGGCTCTTCTACTAGAATGTGAAATGCTCCATTCAGGGGCCATCTGTTTTCCATCTTGGCTTTCCTAGTCCTATTTCAGGAGGCAACACCCAGTTGCAGCATGGCCCGCTAGTTAAGAGCATAGCTCTGGTCTTGAGTGGTTTAGAATAGTGGTTCAGCACTCTAAGCTGTAGGACCTTTGAAAAGTTGCATATACTCCCAATGTCTGGCTCTCTTTATTTATAAAAAGAGGATACAACATGGCGATTCCTGCGTGATACAATGAAGCATTGAGTACATAGAACAATGATTAAAAAATGTTAGTTTATCTTCAGTGGTAGGCATTCAGTAAATATTGGAATAAAATCAATTTGAGGAAATCAGAGGTGATGTGGGGGTACATCATCCACACATACACACAATTTTGTGGGGAAAATACAGTCAAATAAGGCACAGTGCATGCCTTGCCCAAGTGAAGGGTACAGACTAGGAAGGAAATTAAGGGGCACATATGATGGGAAAAAAAAGTACTGTGTGGAATCCGATCACTGTATCAGCAAAGGAAGTGAAGTGCAGCAGTGGTTCAGAATATAGACGATTTCCAGCATGAGCTCAGCAGAGCCACGTGGCTGAGTGGATAGATCTTTCAACATAATGCAACTGTGTTTACATAGTATTTGTTCTGTCATCTCCCTTGGAATTCTCACCCCTGGAGATTAGTAGATTAAGGAAAACAAAGGACAATGTCCATTGCAATACATAGAAACTGAGGTTTCAAGTATCAAGCTTGAATCTAGTTTTTGGACCAGCGATTTCCAAGTTATGTTTTTGAACACCAAGGACAGGGGATGGGTATTCCCAGAGGGTGGTCTGATGTTTTGTGCAACCAGAGAGATTTTACTGCCAAGCACTGGAGACATACGCCTGAGCGTAACACCAGGAGACAAGCCAAGGCCTCAATCAGGCTGGGGTTTTTTTGCCTTTTTTTTTTTTTTTTCTAAAATGGATGTTTTTCCAAGCAAACTGCATTGTGCTCCCAAAAGAGATCCATCATTCTTGTCTTTACGGTTACACAGCAGGAGTCCCACTGATGGGGAGGTGGGTGCCTGGGCCAAAGGAAAAGATGCCGCAGATCTGAGACTCCTCCCTTTGCCTGGTCCTTTTCATGAACAAGAAAAACTTTGGAATGAAATGCAGTGACTGACCTTGAAGGAACCCATCCCCTGAGTTTGACTCCCAGGAAGCTTTGGATGTTTGGGAAACTCAGCACAGCCAATGGGAACTTTCCTTCGGGCTGCAAGAGAGTAGAATTGATTTCATTAGTCCTGGATTCTGAAGTTAAGCCACACATGGGAGTTTGGGTGGTCATGGGGTAAACAGCCAGATTTCCAACACCAGCAAATATATGCAAATGGAAGAGGGCCAAAGTACTCCTAATGTACTAGGACTAAAAAGTTTTGAATATAAAAACCATATATACCTCATT